GCTTCTGAATAGACTAATAAAATCAAATAAACAACAAAGAAATACAGTTAAGGCGTGGTAAAACTTGAAAATATGAAAGTTGATAAATAGGATGAGAAAATAGGAAAAAATGTCGATGAAAATCCTTATTTGACCGTAACGCTGAGCATCTTTTTCATGTTGTGTTTTTAGCCAGTTTCTGAATTTGTTGTTATGAATTACAGTAAATGAGTTCAAAGATTACCAACTCATAGTTGGATAATTTTTCATTTCTAACCAAACGTTGTACTGTGTAACTTTATTATTTCAGATCAATGTGATCGTATTCCCGAGTTATGATAATATCAAAATATATGATTGAACAATTATAAGTACCATTTTACGTACTTTTATGATGGGTGGTTGTGGTTGAGAATTCGGTTCGGATTATTAGGATATTTTAAAACGAATGCTGGAATTATTCATCTAAAAGTATTTGCATTAATGGCTGTGTTATATATGTAATATGATTCTGAAGAACAGTTCAGATTGTTTATCGTTAACTTCTAAACTTTGTGGAACTGACTATTAGGTCGGAAAATACGATTTCCGAAATCTCGTTTTAGCTATCTTTATTTTGAGTGAGATATTCTACCGTAGATTTTCTGTGATAACTAGGTGAACCAAGATTTTCGAGGAGATTAATTTTGATGGTTAACTTCAACCCTTACTGGAAACTTTCATCACTTTCAAAAACTGGTGTCTCCCAAGCAATGTCGAAAAATAACAGTTTTTTCCTTTCTATAAATAACTTTTTAACTGTGTTTATTTTTATTACTTGTGGCTGAATAATGAACCTGGCAAGTAGGAGGTTAACTTGAAAACTGTATCATTTCAAAAACGTTACGTAGTTGCCAGCACGTTCTTTCATTCTCTTACGTGTGACACGCTCGTGCTCAACTAGAACCACATAAAGAAGTCAGACGTTTGACAGTCCTAGCGTATATCCATTACCACATTATTTGGTATAAATATGGCGTCTTGGGTGATTGCATATTTGTTGTTTCCTGACTGATTAGACAGCTGTGGAAAATTTATCTGAGTATTTTCCTGAAGTAACTAGTGATGATACCAAATCTCGTTGTTTACCATACTACACACGTTCGCGTTCATATAAAATAAAGTATCGATTAGTCATTCACCAGAGCTTTTCCAGGAGAAGCTTATAATGAAGAATAAATATATACGTTTCGTAGATTTCGTGAACCTTAAAGAATTTTTTATCATTTCTTTAAAAATAATGATACGTTTACAAAATTCTTACGACCCTTTCCCAACTTTTAATCAAACAATAAATAGCAACTATATTTATACGAAGAGTGGAAACACAGAGATAAAAAAGTCCACTGTAATCTGTGCTGTTGTGTCACGAGGCGATGTTCCGAGTTGTTGTTAAATCTGAATACAATTTGCTATTCTGTTAATTTTGCAATATCTAAACTGTGTAACCACAAAATATCTATTCTATTTGAAGCACTTTACAGATCTAATATTTCTAAATGTGTTATTTTTGTGACTAAATATCAAAACAGTATACTGTTATTAACCACAAACCATTGTTATAATATTGTTTGTTTCTTAATTTTACTTCATCATTATGTGTATGTCCCTTTACGTTAAAATAGAATAAAACCATAACACTTCCCTGGTCAGTACTCAGGGTCGTACGCCCTCTCATTTTATTGTTTTGTATGTTAGAGCAAAACCACATTGTACTATCGGCTGTGTCCACCGATGGGAATTGAATCCCAGATTCTAGAGTTGTAAATTCGTAAACTTTCAGCTGGCCCACAGGAGGGCCTCTCGTTTGAAGAAGAAGCAGCCATTTTATATCATAGGGAGTTGTCACTCTGTTTAGGTTAAGGAACAGCAGCCATTTTATATCATGGGGAGTTGTCACTCTGTTTAGGTTAAGGAACAGCAGCCATTTTATATCATAGGGAGTTGTCACTCTGTTTAGGTTAAGGAATAGCAGCCATTTTATATCATAGGGAGTTGTCACTCTGTTTAGGTTAAGGAATAGCAGCCATTTTATATCATAGGGAGTTGTAACTTTGTTTAGGTTAAGGAATAGCAGCCATTTTATATCATAGGGAGTTGTAACTTTGTTTAGGTTAAGGAATAGCAGCGATTTTATATCATAGGGAGTTGTCACTCTGTTTAGGTTAAGGAATAGCAGCCATTTTATATCATAGGGAGTTGTCACTCTGTTTAGGTTAAGGAATAGCAGCCATTTTATATCATAGGGAGT